AGACAGGCTAAGTGCATACAAACACACCATCAAAGTCAACAACAACTTTTTTCAAAAATTGAGAAAAACACTAAAATAAGATCCAAATCTCAATGACAAACTAGACAAAGAAAGAACAAAGAAAACAAAGCAATGTAACACTAAATTCAAAAGACTTAGACCAGAATTAAAACACATATGAGAAAATGAAAACAAAACAGAGAAAGTGGCAACAGAAGAGAAGAAGAAAATTGACACAAGCTAAAAAAAAGTTGCAAACCAGCAGAAAAGTGTCCAGTCAAGTAGCAAAAGTACAGATGCACTTACAATACCTAGAGAAATCAGAAAGAGAAGTCAAAGAATAAGACATTATCTTCCTGACCATCCAAAAAATTGTGCTTAAACAATTGAGCACATCATATCCACAGCTACACCAAGGTGGTTGTCAGAGTTAAAGAGAACTGATGGCAGCTGTGTGCAAGAAATTGATGAGTCTTGAACATGTTAAAGTATAAACAAAGTTGAGGAACCCCTTAAAGATCTGAAAACTGTTGAAAAGAAAATGGCATTTTCAAAAAGTCCCTTAGTTCTAAGTCTAAGTTTTTCAGGTAGCCTCTATTCTTTTTGAAATTGCCAGTTTCTTTTCAACAGTTTCCAGATCTACTAAGGGTCTCTCAACTTTGTTTCCACTTCAGCACCCATCAATTTCTAGCACTCTTCTATCAGTACTGATTAGTTCTTACAACTACCGTGGTGTAGCTGTGGATATGATGTATTCAATTGTTTTAGGGCATGGTTTGGGTTGGTCAGAGAGAACTTTCCCTATACTTTGTCTTCTCTTTCTGATTGCTCTAGATAGTGTATCTACACCTGTATTTTTGCTTCTCCACTGGTCATTTTTCTGTTGGTTTGCAACTTTTTTGGCTTGTGTCAATTTTCTTCTTCTCTTCTGTTGCCAATCTCTCTGGTTTTTTTTCCATTTTTTTATCCATCTGTGTTTTTGTCTTCAGGTCTAAGTCTTTGTAATTAAGTTTTATATTGTTTTGTTTTCTTTGGTTGTATTTGTCTAGTGTAACCTTGAGGTGGATCTTCTTAAGTTATAGTCGGTGTTGACTTTGATGATGTGTTTTTATCCCTTAGTCTGTCTGATTTTATTCTCAAGTTAGTTTAGTATCTTTCCCATCTTTCATTCATGTTAAGGTTGGATCTGCAAGATGAACTCCAAAAGTGTGAGACTTTTTAAAATAAAAATATTGAATCTGTGCAAAACTTCTTGTTCTGGTAAATTAATGTCAGGAGTTCATCAAAATTAATTGATTTTTATTACAGTTATAATAATTTAATTAGTATTAAATGAAACCATTATCAAACTTTTAAATTGAAATATGGTTATTTCCTAATCAAAATACACAGTTAATTCCTAAATTCTAAAATTATATAAAAATTCATCATTCAAATATTTTTGCTTGCGACAAACAATGATTCTTGGATCAAATTCCTGCTTTGAAATTTACCTTTAAGAATTTATTATAACTCATACATGTAACTTAATAGTTAGAAAACATGTTTAGATGCAAATAAGTCACTAGGAGCTGAGATTATCTTAAAATGTAAGTCCAAGAAAATGTCATTTTAAAACTGTTGCACTCCTGACATCAAAGAAATGGTTCTAAAAGAAAAATTCCTTGTCCATCAGGCTACTCTTTGGGTGCAATCTTGTATCTAGTATAGTATCTTTTGAAAAATAAAACAGAACCATATATTGGCTTTTGTTATTTTTTCAGTGTGATTCTTTTAACTTCAAAGTTGCAGGTAAATGCATTATCTATTCTAGAAAGGACATATTTGTTTTACAGGATTGACTTTTGTTTATGTTTAGGTGTGAGTCATTTAAGCAAAAATCATTCTATTTCATCAGTAATACTAATTTTTGTGTTGCACTCCTGACATGGCACAACTGTTTTTCAAAACACATCTGTATCAAAACGGTTCAATGGACAAGCTTCATTTGTAGCTAAAATCATCACTAATACATAATAGTTGTATTATAGATAAGAATCTATGGCACATATAATCATATTACAAGTTGCTGCGTCTTTAAAAAAAATTTTTTTTCAAAATGTCAAGAAAAAGTGTTGCACTCTCTGACAATTTTGACATCTGTTTCTAACGTCATTTTTTTAATGCTTGAGATTTTCAAAAAATATTTTTCAGGATTATTCTACACATCAAGCCACAAAATTCAGCCCATTTTAACATTGCGATGACTGCCATTTAAAAAAAAGTAGTAGCGAAATGTGATGAGACATGAACTTGTGCTGCTGTATGCTTTATGGTCGGGTTGTTGTCTCTTTGACACATTCCCCATTTCCATTCTCAATTTTATTATGTATACAATAAGTGATATGTATGATATAGTTCAAAAATATTGTTTAAATAAATTAAAATGTTAAATCTGAAAGGTATATACACTTAATCTACTCACTTACAGGAATCATGGGCTTTTTTTATGATGTATAACTGTTTTGATATGATATATCTTGAATGTCAGGGGTGCAACAAGATAGGAGAAATAAAGTACCTTATATAGGTAATAATTTAAAAAATAATAATAGTTCAGAAAAACTTTGAAGATTGCAGATCTCTTTTTAAGTTGTCAAACAACAATTCTGCTGAATATTTAATAGAATTTAGTTCATTGTTTGTAACTTAACCTCATTTTTATAAAAATGTGTCAGAAAAATCAATTTAAATATGATCTGAAGTGCACAAGATGCATAAGTTAAAACCGAAATAACATTCAAATGACAGATTTAGGTCTTTATAAACCAGCAATTACAAATTAAAAAAAATCATGAGTATTTTGTTCTAGTTTCTTAATTTAGTTTGGTGTATAATATGTCAGGAGTGCAACAAAAACCGGGGAAATTGGATGTATTTTCTATTTGATATATCTTCTTTAATAAAAGATTTATCTATCATTTTTTTCCTCAGTGAATTTGAAAAAGGGTTAATTTTAATATGGAGAAGTTTTTTTATCAACTAATTGATGAATTATTTTTTAATCTAAACTTTTTCAATCAACTTTAAATGAATTGATACAAAAATTGGCAAAAACATAAAAAAAAATGATAATCAAAGATGAGATTAATAATCTTTGCATCAAAAGTAATGTTTGGATGTCTGCAATCAATTGAGGTGAAAAAAATATAAATTTTTGATAGTGTTTGTCTGAAATCATATTCCCAAAAGGTATACTTGATTTAAATTTGTTTTATTGGTTTATGTCAATAAAGTTTCAGCACTTTTTTTATTTCTTCCAGTCAACAGTCAAGGGTCTAACTTAAATAAGTTATTAGAGAAAAATAACATACATTTGTTATTGAGGGCTAAAAAATCAAAAATCTGTGATAACATATGTATGTTACATGTTTCAAAGGGGCATTATACATCCTTTATTTTGTTAAATTGTGTACTAGTTCTATTGATATTATAATTGTCTTTATGTATATTAAACTTTAGAAAGAAAACATTGAAACATTTTGTGCTGGTGTTGTTTTTTGTTGTTGCTTATTTCATCACCGTTCATGAAAACTTAAGATGCATGAACATAAATGAATAACGAAAGTATAATTGTGATAAAAGTAATTTCATAGAAATGAAAATCTCAATTGTCTAGTTAAAATATTTTTAAAATATTACTTATTTTAAATACAAGCTTATCAGGGAGTATTTTTTTTAACCCATGCACAGTAACTTAATGAAACTTGTTAAGAAAGGTTGATCTCATATTACAAAATTGTAAGTAATTCAGAAAAATGTTTGAGGCATGTTTGACTTCCCAAAACTTGAAAATCTCAGGGGTCAAAATAATAAAGTGTTTTTAGGTAGGATTCTTTTCTGTTATGATTTATATTTGAGACAGTTATAATGTAACAAAAATCTTTTTTAGTAGCTTTGACCTTGGCCTGAAGTTCACCTCATGACCTCAAAATAAATAGGGATCACCATATACAATTCAAGGAAGAGTGCAATCTGATAGGTACATGTGTATTTGATTTAGTTAGAATAGGAAACAAATTAATTAAAGATGACTAAAGCCCCCAAAAAATACATATACTTGTTTCTTGTCTTCAAGCTGAAAAAAATAGGGAAGGAACATGTACATGTAGCCATTGTAGGTATAGAATTTGTTTTATGTTATTTTTTAACTAAGAACCAAGATATACAATGTACTCAAAACCAATACCAATAAGCATTACTAAATATTTTAGGAGAGAGGAAAGCTAGACACGTGTACATTAGTTTTATTTGGTTATAGTCTGAATGACATTTTGTTTATATTTTGAGGAGACAGTATGATCAGATCACTGTCATGATGTTTATCACCTATTCACCTGCAAATAAACGCAAAAAAAATAGGGGCAGGATCCATGATGGGGACAGTTGGGGAGGTAGGAAACAAGCATATATTTTTTTGGTTTAACAGACTGACAGGTTAAAAACCATATACCATATATACTTTGTAGCATAAGGTATACAAAGCTGAATGCAAATAGTTAATGCTGCTGCTGTCGACGGGGCTCCAGGATAACATTCATAACATTTGTTGCAGGAAATAAACCAACATGTGTCATCTCGGTCAGTTGATTTATGCACATGCTGACCATACAAATACAACTTCAGGAAAATGTTATTATTTGAAAACTATATTTCCTTCAAATTTTATTTTGATAAAATCTACACATGATCTATATCTTTTATTTTTTCTCAATGCATATCAATACGTGTTGTACCACTCTAGCCATACAGTACTGTGAAAACACTTTGCATTTAAAGAAACTTACTTCTAAATTTTATCAAATCTAGTCCTATTAAAAATGTCAACATCTTTCTCTTAAGGTCAACACAGAATTGTAATTGTTTCTAGGTTTTAACATGAAATAATTAAGTTGGTCAGCATGGTCAGTGTCCATATTTTCCTTTTCCTACACAATCATATTTGAGAATACAACATGAAATTCATTTAATATCCTTTTAATATTTTGTGAAAGATTATTGTGCCAATTAAGTACATCCAAACATCTTATTACATCCTAATCTGTTATCAGGAAAAGAACTTTTGTTAAGAGTATCATTTTAATCATCTATTGGATGTATTGAGATCTGGCACTTCAATGGAAATCACATCAGATATCCTGAGTACAGCATTTGGGATGTTTCCCATTGGTGTAGTTAGATCGGAGACTTGAACATGGTGAATGTCAATATCAACTTGTCCTAAAACACAAGACACTGATGTTCTCTCATGCATCTTAATTTTGGCATCTTGTCCTGATAAATGGGACAGAAGGCGAAGAAATCTTTCACGTAAAAAAGTCCTCTGCTCTTGCTTTGTAACCGCAGAATTGTTCATATTTGTTTTAATTCTGAAAAAAAGAAGAAACAGTACAATGAATTTTTGGCCATATCAAAATCACTTGTTTATTATGGGGTCTAAACCCATAAATTTTGGCTCAATCATACCACATCTATTTATTTTTATATTTACACATACATGTACAGTTAATTTACAATCATATTTCTCTAATTCTTCTGCAATTGAACCCTTTCTGGACCCATTGTTTAAACAAATTTAATCTAATCGTGATTGCCAATGACCTCAGTAGATGATTGGTTAAGTTAAAAGGTCATAACCAGTATATCAGCTCTCAGGATGAATGAACAGATGTTCATCTTTATAAATATTTTTACTATACATTTTTAGTTTATTGTTTTGTACATAAATCAGACCATTAGTTTTCTGATTTGAATTGTGTTACATTTGTCATTTCAGGGCCTTTTATAGCTACATTTACTATGAGGTATTTGTTTTGCTCATTGTTGAAGGCTGTACCGTGAGGCTTGATCCAATAGTTGTTAACTTTTTTGTGATTTGGTCTCTGGTGGAGAGTTGTCTCATTGGCAATAATACCACATCTTCTTATTTTTATATTTACACTTACACATGATACGTATACATGTACATGTAGTTAATTTACAATCATAAGATATTTTTATTCCAATTAAAGGGCCCATGAAGAGCAAAGTAATTTAATACAATGATTTTTTATAATTGACACTTGATTTTGACAATCATATATAAATATGAATATAATCAACATGATCAAATAAAAATTCAGATCTTAAGTCACAGCCAGATCAAAGCCATAAGCATTATCCATATATATATGTGTAAAAAGGCAGTAATAAAACATATAGCATAAATAGCTGAGGCAAATATTCTTAATGGGTTACAAATAAACATATCATTAACATATCTGTACTATATTGATAGTTTTTGAATAAAATAAATCATGTTCTTGATTCAAACACCGCGGCTTGTTTAGAGGGTCAGACGAGGTTTTACTGACAATGGCAGTCGCTATCCTATTTACCGGTATAGGGTCCATTTGCACCCATAACATGTTTGCCCCCTGGGCCCTTTTATTTTTAATTATTAGATTATTTTAAGATGTATATATATCAAAATATTTCTATTTTCATGAATAAATACTCGTGAATTTTTTAAATGAAATATTTTTTTTGGTGATTAGATGATTATTTTTGATTTCTGTTAATTTATATTTACAAAGCTAATTTGATATTATTGTTAGATGTTTGAACATCATGACTGTTTTTAAAACTAATTTTGGTGTACTTACCTTAAATATTCTAGAGCTATTTTTGATTTGGAATAGTGCATGATTTTACATTTTTTGTTACATTTGTATTCATTTCGTCAAAAAAGTTCACAAAACACTAGAGGAAAGCTGTATCAGTTTTTAGAAAGTCACTTTATTTTAAACTGGGACTATTACACTAACATAATATACAAGTCCTAGTTTTAAAATTATAAACCAGAGGCTCTAAAGAGCCTGTGTCGCTCACCTAGGTCTATGTGCATAATCAACAATGGACTCTCTCCAACATTGTAGACATAAATAGAGTTCATGACAAAATTTTCTTTTTTGTTGATTTTGTATTGCTGATCATTTTTTCTGTTTAGTTCTCTCTATCTTCTTTAGTTTTTGCTCAAAACACAAAAGAGGGTAAAAAAAATCCTCATTTAACATGTTTAAGGGCAATCACTCCTATGAAGAGTGACAGTGTGAGGATCTTGCCTTGCTGATCATTTTTGTTATTTAAAGTTTCTGTTTATCTCTTATAATTTTTATCATATAATTAGACAAAACGCAATAAAAAAATGGTAAAAATCATCATTATAAAAGGGTAATAACTCTAACAAGGAGACTTAAATGTAGATCTTGTCTTGCTGATCATTTTTGCAACTTAAAGTTTCTCTCTATCTATTATAGTTTTCTAGATAAAAGGCTAAAATGAAAAAAAATGGTAAAATTTGTCATTTAAGGGCAATAACTGCTAAAATAAGTCGGCTGACAGTTTTGACGTCTATAAACAACTGGTAGAGCTCAACATTCTGAATATTTTTGCCTTGTCAGGTTTTCTTTATTTATAAATATAATAGACAAAACTTGCATTTTACCCCTATGTTCTACTTTTAGCAGTGTCGGCCATCTTGGGTGGCAGGCAGGGTCATCTGACACAGTTTTTAAACTAGATACCCAAATGATGATTGTGACCAAGTTTGGTTTAATTTGGTCCAGTAGTTTCAGAGAAGATTTTTGTAAAAGTTAAAGGATGACGATGGACGACGGACGCCAAGTGATGAGAAAAGCTCACTTGGCCCTTTGGGCCAGGTGATAAAAAAAAATTATTTTATTTGATATCAATACCAATACACTAACTAAAACACAATTAAAAAATGTGGATAGTGTCCACATGTGGACACAGATGATGCCCCCGCTTGCATATCATATAGTTATAAAGGGACATAACTGAAGAACGGTAAAAGTGACGCTACCCAAATTTGAACTTGATCTTAGTTTTGTGGTAATGAATATTGTGTATAGGTTTCATAATGTTTGGTTGTGGCAAACTTAAGTTACAGAATGGAAACTAAAAATTTTGCAATCTTTCAAGGAATAAAGGGGCATAACTCAATAATGGTTAAAGTGACACTACCCAAATTCAACTTGATCTGTGTTTTATCAGTGGAAGTCAAAATTAAACATTGCATTGAATAAAGCATTGATTGTAGTTGATTCAATTATAATCATGGACAAAGGAAGATAACTCCAATTTTAAAAATTACTTGATATTTAGAAGAAAATAAAAATTTTGCAATTTTTCCATTTATAAAGAGGCAAAACTCTAGAACAGTTAAAGTGACGCCACCAAAATTAAACTTGATCTGTGTTTTGTGGTAATATAAGCATTGTGTAAAAGTTTCATAACATTTGGTTTAGGCAAACTTAAGTTAAAGAACGGAAACTAAAAATTTTGCAAATTTTCCATTTATAAAGGAGCATAAATCTAGAACAGTTAAAGTGACGCCACCAAAATTCAAACTTGATCTGTGTTTTGTGGTAATAAGCATTGTGTAAAATTTTCATAACATTTGGTTGAGGCAAACTTAAGTTAGAGAACGGAAACTAAAAATTTTGCAATTTTTCCATTTATAAAGGAGCATAACTCTAGAACAGTTAAAGTGACGCCACCAAAATTCAAACTTAATCTGTGTTTTGTGGTAATAAGCATTGTGTATAAGTTTCATAACATTTGGTTGAGCCAAACTCAAGTTAGAGAACAGAAACCAATTTTGGGACGTACGGAAGGACGGACGTACGTACAGACGGACAGGGGGAAAACTTAATGCCCGCACCACTACGGCGCGGGCATAAAAATTATTCAATACAAAACCTTTAAAAATGGTGCGAACCTGTGCCTGTGGGGTGCACACATAAATGGGGGGGGGGGGGGGGGGGGGGGGGTTGTGTTGTTGAACATGGACGGGGGCAAACTTTCTTTAGGGAGAACAGACCCAGATTCCTATATTAAAAATCAATAAGGATAGCGACTGCCATTGACCTCGTCTGACCCACTAACATGACTAAACAAACCCCTGTGTTTCAAAGTGGTTTTCTCTTATTAATGTCGGCTGCTATTTGAAAATTGAATCCAGGGGCGGATTCAGGCAGGGGCATGGAGGGCGTGTGTGTCCCCCCCTTAAAATTAGCAAAGCATGGGTTGTCCTCAGCTTAATAGAGAATATTTCGATAATTTTACCTAAAAAAAAAAAAAATTAAGTTTGCACCCCCCCTCCCCCCTATAATAAAATCCTGGATCCGCCCCTGGAATCAATAATTTTTTTTCAAATAAACATCGTTTAGTGTTTTTTTTAAATATTGTGTTGCCGAGCTGGTTAAAGGCCGAGTTTGTTGGAACCCGAACACCAGAGTCGTCTGAACGACCAAAAGCGACGTCAGATAATTCTTACGTTATCCCCTTTGTTCGTAAACACGTCGTTGGTTTAATCGTGGTTGCAGTAAATCCATAAAAATCTCCTTTCAAGATGTGCTTCGTGGTGTTGTTAGAAATCGTTAATGATATTATATCTGTAAACATGTGCCGTCACTTTTTGTTTACGATAGAATCATTTTACTTCCGGGGGATGAAAGGACCTCATTCGTTTTCAATTACTTAATTTAAAAAATCACTTGATGCAGTATTTTAACATTTAATAGTTGTTGGTTGAAGAAGTCAAATCAAAACAATATCATAACTATAAATTGTTCTGTCTTCGAAATTCAAAGTAATTATTTCAGAAATAGGTTCTTGTAAAATTTCCTTTCGGTTCTCGACCAAACCGGAAGTAGTAAATTATGGACATCGTTACAGAACATGACCCTGAAAAATAAACTTCCCAGCTGATTATACAAATTTTCAAAATGGCAGGAAGATCTGAAATGTCAGATATGACAGATATGGGTAGTTCGGAATCAGAAAGTGTCCTTGGCCAGGATGACTCTGAACTGGCGTTGTCGGGAATAAGGATGTTACTTAACAATGGTTTTGAAGAGGCACAAGCACTTTTTGACAAATACAAGTACGCCCCCTTATAATTTGTTTTCATTAGAAACGTACACCAATAATGCACTGTTGTTATGATTTCTTTCTTGCCCGAACAGTTTTGGCTGTATTTACAAAATTTTGTACAACAGTTCTTTATTTATTTGTGTGTTTAGTAATCACATGGCAGATTGCATAAAGCACTAAGTTGTTGCAGGATCTTTAAAAAGATGTGATAAAAATATGATTGTTTTACATAGTTAAATGTTTATCTTCATTAGAACTTTGCTGTCTAAACACAAAGATAAAAGTGGTATAGTTATATGAATTTCATTTCTCAATCTTATGGCCTGTTGGCACAACCTAGTCCTATAACGAACATGACTTCTGACTTCACATTCTTATTCCATTTTTAAGGTTCAACAAAAGGAATCAACACATGTGTTTACTGTTTACACCAAACAATCTACTCTACAGACAAACTGGTGCATTAAGGTTTTAAGGCATAACTGTACCTGATATAAAAAAAGAAGGGTACTCGACAACTCATACTCAACTAACTCTTACCCTAGTTTTACCAACTCGAAACCCAATATTTTATTATTATTTATATACATTATACATTATATTTGTTATTTCCTTTCATATATCATGATAATCCTATAGCAGCATACAAATAAAAAAAGATATAACTTTTATTGGTAATAATGATGCAATCATAATTGATTCAAATCAAAGCTAAAACTAAATGCTAATTATTAGTCATTAGAATTTTTTGATTATATGAAATTGTTTGAAAGGCAATTTATTTGATATGCATATTAAATAATTATAATCATACAACATATGTACAATAAACTGATCAGTGATCATTATTGGATAATAGACCTACATGTACAAAAATACAATGGGTTTGTTTAATAAGAAATAAACATAAGAGAAGTATATAAAAACAAAAAAATCTATAAACGTGGCACTAAAATAAATATATGTAAACCATTTGGACTTTGTTTAATTCATGTGCTGGCTTTATGGTTTCAAAAGGATTTGAAAGGTGTTCATTATATACATTGTACACTAGCAGGAAAAAAACTCACATGTCCAATGCAAAATTCAGTAAAAATATCCTTTTCCAATATTCTATGGATCGTTTAAGCTTGAGATGATGTTCTATATATATATTCTTATTTACCAACAAGGGTTAAAATTAATGAATAAATTACTTCACAATTAAAGACTTATGCCGCATTTAAAAAAAACCTGTTAAAAAAAAACATAAGAAAATCATATCAGAAGATCTATTGCAAAATAAAAATAACAAATTTTCAATATAACCTAATAAATGAAACACACGATCATGCTAAAAAAATATTGGGTACAAGTTGGCGAAGGTACGAGATGACATGTATCCAAAAAGTGATATGCATTTTGTGTTTCAGAAAATAAAAAAAAAATTACTTACATTTTGACTTGTCTTACATTTTTTTAAGTCTGCAGAGATGGCTAAATAATTAATATACAGAACCTGAGTTTCACTTGATAATGTTGATACGGTCCACTCAGTTAAACAGTTTAAATCACCTTTTGTTTGCAAATATCTATAGTTCCTCTATTGTCCTTGTCAATTAATACAGTTCACTACATTTATTATATGAGGGGAGTTTCTCAAGCATCTCTCCCAACTTTCAGAAATGATAAAAAAAACGTAGCAAAATCTAGTAGTTTTTATTATTTTGAAACTTAAAACGTAAAATTGATGCATTTAAATTCTATTTATCGAAGGCTCAGACATGCCTTAAAATTTCCTTTTTGACGAAAGGTTATTATGACCTTATTGATTTTATGTTGATAATTTCATTTTTCATTTTATAGAATACGAAGTGTAAGATAACTTATACATGTTATAATTCCTTTTCACTGACTATTCAGTATGAGTTTTGTTCATTGAATTGTCAAATTGCATGTATTGCTAAATATATTATGTTTGCCAATATTATTTGAAAAATTGTAAGTCTGCTACATATATTATAAAAATTTTAGCCTGAAATATGAATATATATTTCATTTCATTCTTTTTTTCTAGGTATATGTGTTTCTTTTTTCAACCTTATTTCACAATTTCATGTATAAGGCCACCCCTTGCCCATTTAAAATGTGGTTGAAAAGTAAAGTATATATGGTTTACTGTAAATTCAGAAATTATTACTAGGTTAGGTTTTTATTATTGCGAATAATGCGACTGGGTAGGTATTGCAATAATAAGAATTTTTTAGCAAAATAATCGTGTTGCAAGGGGTATCGTGGTGCCACTGTTTATTATCATGATTATTCAAAAAACTCATAAATTTTGTTAAATTATGCTAAAATCAGGCTTTAACCAAATCCACCTACATTTGTGATGTCACAAATGACACAATTTGTGAAAAAATTCTCATTAACTGAAACAATTGGACATTTTAACAAATATTTTTATTAAATTTTCACAACATTATCGTAGTTAAAAATGTTCATATTTTTAGGGCCAAAATTATAACCAACTCCTTTAACATGTTTAACATGTTTAAAAAAGGGAAAAAAAACAACAATTTTTCAAATAAATAATACACAAATAAAGAAAAGTTAGGAATCAGAATGATCCCCTAGAAACAGTTTATCTCCCTCTCCCCTCTATGTACAGACTATATGTGTCTGAAATTTCATCAGATAGTGTCTAAGAATAACTGGTCTAGAAGACAATTAGCTTGATGCTGAGTTAAAAGTTCTGTAATAATACACCATGTGAAAGCCTCTGTGACCAAATCATAATATTTTTATACTGGACATGTCAGACAGTAAGACAGATTTTAAGACCTGACATTACTTTTGCATATATATACATTTATATTTAAAATTACTTTTAGTATTTTAATATTTATTCCAGAAACGACAGTTCTTTGATGCATGCTGGCCACAGCTTTGTATATTTTATGGTTAGTATTGGATAGTCAAATAAGGTTATTATTCCCTGAGATAGCTATTGTCATGGATTTTGTGTGTATAGATAAACCATGAGTTTAATGTAGTACTTTTTCCTAAACATGCATGCTAATGGGCTTTGCTCATTGGTGAAGGCTGTACTATGACCTATAGTTGTTAATTTCTGTGTCATTTGGTCTCTTGTGGAGAGTTTTCTCATTGGCAATCATACCACATATATAAAGTATTGAATGCAGACTTTGGCAAAACCTTGAAATAAAATATCCATGAAAATACAAAAATTGGTACCCACAAAATTAAATTAATCCACTGTATGACTGACAATTCCACACTAATAAGAAAGATGGTAAACTACACATTTTATTAATTATTTTTATATTAAAATAACATGTAGAATGATTAATGCTACAAATATGCCTCAATTTTATACGTCAGCTTATGAGTTCTATGTCCTTTAAATGAGGTGTTTACACAGAGGGAATTACCTGCCAATCATGTGAAGTTCCGACTAGCCCCCTCCCATCTTTTTGGCATATCCTGTAATTTATAGCCCCCTCCATCAGATCTTCTTCTTATAAACTCTTTAAACATTTCTCAAGATTAACTATATAATTTATTGACAAAAAAGTGGAAATATCAAAGCTACAATTACTGACAATATTTGTGGCAAAATGAATAAAAGCTGGAAGTAATAAGCTAGTGTACAAATAATAGAGAGGAAACTGAACCAGTTGATTGTCTTACATGTTTAAGGAGTTCAATATTTTGTATTTGTTAAAAACATTATTTGAATGTTGTTTAAAAAGTTATGTTTATTTAATGTGTTTAATTTTTCAGACAGCTTTAATCTCATTTGAAGACGAAAAGTTGGCAGAAGCATTGAAAAAGTTAGAAGAAACAGAAAAGTTGTGTGACACAGATTCTGGTATCTTCAAATCACTAAAAAAGAAATTAAAATCAAAAAAGAAAAAGGAGGTTTGTTTAGTTATGATACTAAAAACATTTGGACCTTCTGTGTTCTCACAAATTTCATATATAATCCTTGTAAACAGGTAAATTTGAAAGATCATCTTGTTTCTAGAAATTATAGCATCACATCCATAACACAATCTATAAGAAAATCATTTCAGACAGAATCATATTCAAGTCAATAGCATCACATTACCATGAGGCGTAAAGGCTCTGGTGGAGAACACTAACTGTCATTGATGGCCAAGTTTGTCAGCTAAATGAATTACTGGAGTTTCATTTTTATTCGTGGGAAACTAGATTTGGGAAGAAGAAAAAAAATAATCAGGAAAATTTTTGATCTTTTAATATGCTGTAGGCATTACCTGAAGAGGAAGCTCTGCAGTACATGTGCTGGACAAATCTGCCTTTGTACATGTATAACAAAACATATATAAACTTTTAGAAATAATTTGAAAACTCAGATGTTTCTCACATTCCTACAAATTTAATGTAATACAGAAAGCAAAGGATATTTTTTTCTAGACACTATGTATGAAAATAAACATTTGTTTATCTGTTCTTTTCTTCACACATTTTACAGGGAGAACCAACAATTAGTATTGAAGATAAAATACAACGACAAGTCATAGTGGCAGATTCCATTTTATATCAGGGGATTTTAATTTTCACAAATCAGGACATTTCAAGTTATATCAAAGGGGGTTGGTATCTTCGTAAAGCATACAAGATTTATGAAAAACTTCACAAAGATGTTAATCAGCTCATTGCGGCTTCTAAATTAAAACAGAGCAAGTCACAAAACAGTCTAACTAGTACAGGGTCAGCGGTCAGCTCAGATGGACCAATCGACAGCAATGATAATGAACTCACACAGGATGTCCTCTCACGTTTATTAGGAGCTGTGAACTTTGGTTATGGAACCTTTCAGTTGTGTATATCAATGGTCCCACCTAAGATTTTAAAACTGATAGAATTTCTAGGATTTGAAGGTGATAGAGAGGCTGGACTTGCCGCCTTAGATTTTACTAATCATAGCAAGGATATGAAAGCTCCATTGGCAACACTGGGGTTGCTATGGTACCATACAGTATTACGACCTTTCTTTGCACTAGATGGTGCTAATGAATATGATGCAGGTAAATTTATCTTACCTTTGGGCCTAAATTAATATATTGTTTGTTTCCCCAATCCCGACCCTGCCAAGCCAGGTGTGGGTAGGTAGGTAGGGAAATAATATTATTTTTCCAAAAAGCTTGAACATTATCGGACGATCTGGCAAGCCTGAAAATCCAAAATGATTAAAATAATATTTGACTTAGTTTTGACAATAAAATTTTACGAGTAGCACCATTTTTGCAGGGTCGGTGGGGATTGGGGAAACAAACAATATTTTATTTTAGGCCTTGTTACAAATAGGTTTAGAGCCATTACTGATATCTTCGCAAAAAATGCCTTACCGTATTCACAAAAGAGAGACGAAAGATACCAATGGGACTTTAAGTCGAAAAAAAACTGACAAAGCCATGGCAAGAAACGAAAAAGACCAAAAGACAAACAACAGTACACAAAACACAAGGTAGACAACTAAGGACTGAGCAACATCAACCCCACCAAAAACTGGGGGTGATCTAAGATGCTCTGGAAGGGTAAGCAGAATGTGCATGATTCTGTTGATTACCCTCTTACTTCTAATCTGTGAATGACAGTAAAATTCGTGATTTATAATGAAAACAGTGATCATGATGGTGCCCCTGTCGTATTATATCTATTCAGTGGATTCATTTATTTTCATGGGTACCAATTTTCATGGATTGAGGGAATATCATATTTTTCGTTGATATTTGTTTTCGTGGTTTGCAAGTCTGCACACAAGCCTATAGAAGAATTGTACTTGGTTGAACATTTAAATTCATGGTTCACCTTTACCTACGAAATCCACAAAAATTGGTATCACAAGAATAATAAGGAATCCACAGTATATATAGTTTAGAGGGAATAACCCACTATCACCCGCATTCATTATCTAAACTTCCCCACCAAGACTGATAACTAATTGATTCATCTCATGCTGTATGTTGTACTATTATTACTAAAATTGGTAAGTATAATTATGTAAAGATATTCTTAGTACATGTATATAGGAGCTGGTCTTATCTCAGATTTTCCTAAAATCATGACTATATTTGTTTTCACTTTTAGGTACACACGATGCAGAAGTCATCATTGCAGAGAAAGAATCGGAATTTGAAAACTCAGCATTATTTTTGTTTTTCCGAGGTAGAATACAACGATTAAGGGTAAATATATAAAATAGATATAAGAAAAATTCTGTAAACCCATTATTTTTGGACGGATTTTTTTTTTCATTGTTGAAGAATAATGTGAATAAATAGTCACGAATACAATGTACTGTGAAAGTACTTTTGTTCGTGGGTAACAATTTTCGTGGATTGAGCAAAAGTTACATGTTCGTGGGTTCTTAAATTCATGGATTTGAGTTTTCTGAGAGAAAAATATTCTGGTGAAGAATTTGAACCCATCAGAAACTAAGATTCTTGAAAATAATCATATGGTGTTCATTATCACTTAAATGTTCTCCTTCATTTCTGATAACAGTCATCAAAAATTTAATAAAATAATTGCTTTCAGAAATAAGCTGATTCATCTCTAAATACAAATTGTCTCATTGACGGAAATTTCAAAGTAAACATTTATTTGTTGCACACGAGTAATCAGAAGTGGTGACACTGATTAACCTGAGATCGAATGATCAACAAATTAACAATCATCAAAGGTGTTAAATAGGCCATAAACATTTCATTTAAAGAAAAAGGTTTGTATAAAAATGCTACAAATGTACTTTGAAATTAATACTTTTTGAATAAAAAAGCAAGCCCTATATGAAATTATTATTTTTTTTCATGAGAGAATTATGAAGAGATAAAATGAACACTTCATCAAAAATCTTCACTGGAAGTCTGATTTTCATCTTTCAAAACTAATTTTTCATGAGAATTAAATGGTTAAAAGTCGTACAACTTAGACTATTTAAAGATGAAAATCCTGTCTGAAGTTGTACATGCTACACTGGTGCTACACCACTGCATATAGTTCATAGTGCGTTTGCTGCTATTCGATGTTTTCTCAAGCATATGCCTGTATCAATGTAGTCGAACCTACAGTCAATCTTTCCATGTCTTGATTTAGACAAGAGTTGTTATATTTCGTTGGACACTTAAATTCATGGACAAAGCCTTCCACGAAAACAACGACCATTGGTACCCCACGAATAAAAGTACTTTCACAGTATGTCAAACTTGGCTCTTGTCTTGTATGAACACAAACAAAGTTACAAAACTTATTTTTCATTGTTGAAGAATAATGTGAATAAATAGTGACGAATACAATGTACGTCAAACTTGGCTCTTGTCTTAGATGAACATGAACAAAGTTACAAAACTTATTTTTTATTGTTGAAGAATAAGATGAATAAATAGTGACGAATACAATGTATGTCAAACTTGGCTCTTGTCTTGGATGAAAATGAACTAAGTTACGAAATCGTGAATATGATGTTGTAGCGTAATTGGCTAAAAAGGGCTAATGGTGAAAAAAATGCCTTAAGAAGTAGCTTGCATTGAAGTTGTTTACTGGCAGTACATTTTTCGGAATGTGGGATATGAGAGTTACTATTGTATATTGGTAAACCAGGTAAAACAGGAATTACTGTTGTATATTGGTAAACCAGACGGGTAACAGGAATTACTGTTGTATATTGGTAAACCAGACGGGTAACAGGAATTACTGTTGTATATTGGTAAACCAGACGGGTAACAGGAATTGTTGTAGTGTGTCAAAGAAAAAGAACGAAAATTGCCTTTTTGTATCTGATGTGTTTTTTTATTAATTTTTGAGGTATGAATTTCTTCTATTGCTTTGTAGAAAAAGACAGATGAGTCATTAGAATTATACAGAAGAGCTTTGGAGGCAGCAAAAGGCCAGAAAGAACTTGAACTTATGAATTTGTATGAAATAGGTAATACTATAAATATTTGATTTTTTTTCTTCAAAAGTGTACAAATGACAAATATACAACAGTACTAGTAACAAAGGGGTTTGAAAACAAGAAAAACTTAAATAAATTTGTCTCCCTAAAAACAGTTTTGTGATCTTATATTAACTTATATCCTGCTTTTCTTTAGATGTTTGTAATTGAATTTTTCTGGGGTTTTATAATATAACTGATAAGACAATAAAAATTCACCATCAGCACAAGATCCCAACAATATTCTCAAAATTGTTCTTTTATCAACTGGATGTTTATCACATATCTAAAAAAAAAAACAGACAGCCAAGTTAATTTCAGATCTTGATTCAGGCTGATCAGTACTGGACTTGTTCTTGAATAAAAAAAATTCTGGGTACTTTTTACAATATTTGGCATGTGTGGGGGATCCGATAACTTACTAAATGCAGTGAGAAAGTAGGTGTATTCCTGTGTATGTTTTTGTTTGTTCTGAACTGAAATATCTAGGTATCACTATATTTTGTTTGAGATATCTGTAAAATATATCAGTATATGTTGTTTAAACTGTTACTAGCCACAATTGAAAACATTATAAAACGCAGTCAAAATGTATTTACCCTATTGATTTGTGAGGTCGGACATAGTTTTTATACATCCGTCAAAATTTTGACGGGATGTATTATGGTATACAAATGTCAGGCGTCTGTCTGTCTGTCCATCCGTCTGTCCGGCGTCCACATGTCACACTGTAACTTGAGGATGACTTATCCAAATTTCATGAAACTTAACATAGTTGTTTCTTATGATGGTCAAACGATCTGTATACTTTTCGGTGAAAATAAGATTAAAACTTTTTGAGTTACGGGACTTTGTAACTAAAACAGGGGGTGTTTTTTTCTCATGTTGCGCCATATCTCAAAATGATTTAGGATTATTGCTTAAAACTTTACACTCTTCTTAGTTATATTAAAGGGGGGGGGTCACATGTCGCGCCGTATCTCAAAAACGATTTATGATTATTGCTTAAAACTTTACACACTTCTTAATCAGTCAGGGATATAACTCTATAGGGTTATTACAGAAAAATAACATACATTTGTTATTGTTGACTAAAAAATCAAAGAACTGTGATAACATATGTATGTTACATGTTTCAAAGGGACAATATACATCACTAGTTTAGTTAAAATGCATACAAGTTCTATTGATATTACTATTGTCTTTATGTATACTTAACTATAGAAAGATATAATAGTTCATAGTTTGCCAATTTTGCATAGTACACCTATATGTTAATACAGAAAAAATATGCCTGTAATAACTAAAGGGTGTTATCACAGTTTCTCTATATCACTTCAAAACATTTTCTCAGACATACATCATGCTTAATTACAATGTATTTTAATTTATTGTAAGAAATAATGACCAGAGCATGTAATGAGGTTCTGCGCAAGCTTCCCAGTAATTCCCAAGTGTCTCATATAATAGGTTACATTCCTTTAATAACTAAGCTATGTTATTACAGCTAATTTTATCCCTTAAAAGCCTCGTCTCATTGATTTACCATGGTTAATCAAAAATGTATTAATTTAATTAGAAAATTAATTATCAAGGCTATGCATTTAGTTTCTGCGCAAAGTCTCAAAGAGTTCCCTAGAGCCCATTATAAATTAAAATATTTTTGATTTATTTTACAAATAACAAACATATGTTATTGCAGATTTAGAAAATTTAAGGAATAAAGAGTAGACAACTCATGAAAGTATCTGTAATAACACACACAAGTTATTTTCTGTAATAACCCTATAGAGTTATATCTCTGACTGTTAATTATATTAATCTGAAGATCTGTATACTTTTTGGTGATGATTCAAAATTTTATTTTAGAGATTGATTTTTTTATAAAAAAAAAGGGGGGTTTTCACATGTCGCGCCGTATCTCAGAAACGATTTATGATTATTGCATAAAACCTCACACACAAGACAACAGGCGTATCATGCGCTTGTGGCACAGCTGTTTATTATACTGTCTGAGGTTAAAGTTTGTCACACATCAATTACTTTGTCAAACTTGTAAACCTTCATGGATTGCTAATCTTCAAGACCAAGAAATAGTATTTAAAGAAAATGTTTTAAATTCTGTATTTTGCTGATAAATGGACTCCCTTTTTAAGTCAACATTACACTTTTATTCTGACAGCAGCAATCGCAGGCGAAACACAAGGTTCTGCGGAACCTCTTATGAATTTTTATTCAAGGTATTTCATTTAGAATAGTTTAAGGAGTTGCAGTATAAAAAGTACAACCATACATTGTCTCAAAATATAATATTATATGTACTTAGTTAGAAACTAGGTAGAAATGTTCGAAAGTGTCTTCCATTTTACCTGTTTCTAAGTCTTTTTACAAATAAATTTTATATTTTTGTAATTTTTGAGGCTATAACTGTTCTATATTCACAATTATAAATGCACACAATAATTTCTGAATTTACAGTATTCTATAAAGAAGCTTATCATTTGATATATTTTAAACTCCTTTTATTTTTCATATTTTAACAGGTTGGTGTAATATCATGAAACTAAACTGGAGAGACTCTCTAGGAGCATTCACAAGGTACATATAGTCAAATCATTACTGGTAATTAAGTCTCCCAAACGAAGTTTGGGAAGACTTATTGTTTTTGCTCAGTTCTTATTATTATTATTATTCTTCTTCCTCTTCCTCTTCCGCCGCTTTTAAATTTGAACTTGTCCGCACCCGTTCTCCAAAACCGCTTGTCAGATTAACTTAGGGTTTCACAATATGTTAGACTAACATGTCTAGTGGTGCAATCAGGGTTTTGTTTGTGCAATGGGGTTTTTAAAGGGGTACTTTGAGGGGCAAAAAGAAAAGAGGGTTTTACTATAGAACCCTATGGGATTTTATTTTTTTAAATTTTCAAATGATTATAAATTGAAAACCGTTTGTGATAGACACAATCTTTTTAATTGAAAATGTTCTAAATGATAAAACCCATTAAATGAAATACAGGGTTAGTCCCCAGGGGTCACCCCCACCCCCTACCATTTAAGAAAGTTCTAATACCTTGTAAGTGGTCAAGATCCCCACCCCTAAACCATATATATTCTGGTTTGTCATGCTAAGATGGTTTGAATGATATACAGGGTTAGTCCCCAGGGGTCACCCAGACCCCCTGCCATTTGAGAAAGTTCTAATATCTTGAAAATGGTCGAGATCCCCACCCCTAAACCATATATATTCTGGTTTGTCATGATAAAGCACATCAAATGAAATACAGGGTCAGTCCCCAGGGGTCACCCCCACCCCCTGCCATTTAAGAAAGTTCTAATATCTTGTAAGTGGTCAAGATCCCCACCCCTAAACAATATATATTCTGGTTTGTCATGCTAAGATGGTTTGAATGATATACAGGGTTAGTCCCCAGGGGTCATCCCGACCCCCTGCCATTTGAGAAAGTTCTAATATCTTGTAACTGGTCGAGATCCCAACCCCTAAACCATATATATTCTGGTTTGTCATGATAAAGCACATCAAATGAAATACAGGGTTAGTCCCCAGGGGTCACCCCGACCCCTGCCATTTAAGAAAGTTCTAATACCTTGTAAGTGGTCAAGATCCCCACCCCTAAACCATATATATTCAGGTTTGACTTGCTAAGATGGTTTGAATGATATTCAGGGTTAGTCCCCAGGGGTCATCCCGACCCCCTGCCATTTGAGAAAGTTCTAATATCTTGTAAATGGTCGAGATCCCCACCCCTAAACCATATATATTCTGGTTTGTCATGATAAAGCACATCAAATGAAATACAGGGTCAGTCCCCAGGGGTCACCCCCACCCCCTGCCATTTAAGAAAGTTCTAATATCTTGTAAGTGGTCAAGATCCCCACCCCTAAACCATATATATTCTGGTTTGTCATGCTAAGATGGTTTGAATGATATACAGGGTTAGTCCCCAGGGGTCATCCCGACCCCCTGCCATTTGAGAAAGTTCTAATATCTTGTAAATGGTCGAGATCTCCACCCCTAAACCATATATATTCTGGTTTGTCATGATAAAGCACATCAAATGAAATACAGGGTTAGTCCCCAGGGGTCATCCTGACCCCCTGCCATTTGAGAAAGTTCTAATATCTTGTAAATGGTCGAGATCCCCACCCCTAAACCATATATATTCTGGTTTGTCATGCTAAGATGGTTTGAATGATATACAGGGTTAGTCCCCAGGGGTCATCCCGACCCCCTGCCATTTGAGAAAGTTCTAATATCTTGTAAATGGTTGAGATCCCCACCCCTAAACCATATATATTCCTATTTGTCATATCCCGAACATTTGAATGACGTATACAGTCAGTCCCCAGGTGTTCCCCCCACCCCCAATGTTCTTATATCTTGTGAATAGTTGAGATCCCCACCCCTAAACCATATATATTCCTGTTTGTCTTGTAACGAACATTTGAATGACGTATAGGGTCAGTCCCCAGGGGTTCCCCCCACCCCCAATGTTCTAGTATCTTGTAAATGGTCGAGATCCCCACCCCTAAACCATATATATTCTGGTTTGTCATGCCAAGATGATTTGAATGATATACAAGGTTAGTCCCCAGGCATCACTAATGCATATAACTTTACTGGACCAAACCAATTTTCACTGGACTTTGCCCAATGTCAGGCAACCCTGGGAATTACGAATTATGGGAGCTTCGTTTGGGAGACTTCGTAACAGCATCCTGTTACAATCATTTCTTGTTACTATTATTTCTAAGTACCACCAGTATTTGTTTCTCAGTAAGGACTGAAATCAACCTTTAATACATCTTCACTGTTTAAAATCTTTGGGAGAACTTTCTTCATTAACCTTTATCAGAACTTTTTATACTGAGAAAGTACTTTGTTGAACATTTAAATTTGTGGTTTTTCCATGTATATCCATGAAATCCACAATATATAAATAACACATAGCTGAGAGGGTGATAGAGCAGATTGTTACCCCGAGAAAACATTGTCAATTGAGGCGAAGCCAAGGTTGACAATGTCTTTTTGAGGGGTAACAATCTGCTCTATCACCTTCTCAGATTTGTGTTATTTAATTTATTATACTGTATGTTCTGTTATTACTGTCTATTAAATTTCAAATTCGAAGTAATAAACTATGACGTCTTGTACATAACTATCATCCGTATTTATTAAAGCACACACTTGAGCAAGCGTCTCCGTGAAGGGTAATAGAGTATTTGCCATGGGATAGAGTAAATTGTCTCCCTCTTATTAACCAATCAAAATATGGCATTTTGACATGAAATATAATAAAATTTAATATCCCATGAATAATAATAAATCCATATGTAACAGATTTTGTGCAAGAAATCACTGTCGTTAAATCTTCTATATGAGTACTTAAAACTTATTGCTGTATCATGAAGGGATAAAGACATTTAAAACCCTTAAAATCTATATTATATCTGCATATGTTAATTTCATAGAATCAACTGTTAATTATCAACAGGGAATAGACATTAAGACATTTTCAATGATTTTTTTTCATAAAATCTCCAAAACCTCTTATATATCAAAACTTTTAAACCAGATGGAAAGTGTTTGGTAGGAGCTTTTTTCATGCTTTTTATCTGACAATGTTTCAGAAATACTAAGTGCTCTATTCTTGCATGCGTATTGATTTTCATGCATATTGATTAGGAAATGACTGACAAATATGTATTATATTTAATGAATGGCTATTATTTATTTTGAATTTATTGAACCATAAAATTAATTTTTGACTCTTCACATTGAATAATCCGCGAAGCGGATTATGTAAAATGTGAAGAGTTAAAAATTAATTTTATGGTTCTATCAATTCAAAATAAATAATAGCCATTCATTATAAATAAATTTCTATCAAAAATAAGGCTCAAAGAGCTTTTTATATTATTTATATTAACAATAGCAACGTACACACATGTTGGAGTCTGAATACACAACGTCAGAGTGGGCGTGTCGCCATAAAAATTAACAACATTGAAAATAAAGGTAATACTTTTAACCAATCAGAAGACAGTAAATACACCAAATTTATTTATTTTAGATTAAAGGATGAGACTAAATGGTCCAAGTGTTATTATACATATCTGATGGGAGGTGAGTACTGCTCTAGGCAAAAATAAAAATATCTGATGCGAGGTGAGTACTGCTCTAGACAAAATTAAAAATATCTGATGGGAGGTGAGTACTGCTCTAGAGAAAAATAAAAATACTAGGAATTTCCAAAACTGTGGTTTCACTTTTATTCTTTGAATACAAAAATTGAAATTTTTGGTATATATTAGCCTAAAGAAAATTTGTACTTCATTTGACATTTAAATCAGTGGTTCACTTATATATATAAATATCCACAAAATCCACGAAATATGGTAACCCACAAATGATATTGAATTAACAGTATATAAGATAAGACATGATTTTATGTTTATTTTACAGTATCTCTTGGTGCTATGGGGGATGTTAAAGGTGCTAAAGACACCCTGAAAGATGTCCCAGGACTGCTGAAAAAGAAAAATAACCAGATTGAGGCTTTTGTTTCTAGGAGGGTAAGTGATAAAGAGATAGAAGAAAGGATGTCTTAGGATCGATTGATTCCAAAATTAAATGTATGGGGAGTTGGATAGCACTTTTTCCCCTAAGACCTCCACCCATACAATTAAAAAAAAATAATGTTTTCAGAGGTTAAAATGTTTTGCTACAACTCACTAGACCAGGACTTATTATAGCAGGATTTTACTAGTCCTGTTGGAAGAACTGCTAGCCGGAGACTTGGTAAATATCGACCATATTAACAAAACATTGTCTCTGGTTTTAATATCATCAGCAGCATTCAACATTACCAATGGGAATCTCTCTGTCCATGATACAATAAATGTTCTTTTACTCTTTTCCCGGTTGAGTTTGTCATTTTTACTTTTTGATGACGTATCAGCCTCAGTTCTTCGTTTCTAAACTGAAGATGTTCCTGACGTGCCCCTACTAAAATATTTAGCAATACTTTGTTGCATGGTTTTGTGCTGTCCAATATGACAAGTCATATTGATCAATGCATCATAACCCCAGTACCGTCAGTTGAAAGTCTAGGAATGAACAATGTATAATACCCCTTGTACCGATATAATCTATATTGAAAGTATGATAATAGCGATCAACACATGATACCGATCCACCCAGTTGTTAGTTCAATTCTTTAAAACAAGTACACAATCAGCTCAAATTCCTGAAATCCTGTATGAAGTAATTGAATCCGATTGGCTAAGATAAAAATAGTGAGGAAGGGATTTTCCACTTTCTATTTTGATAACGCCAAGGATTTTGATTTACTAGTCCGTTTGGCATATTGGATTACAAGTTTTGATTGCCCGATGCGTAAATGTTTTAGTCCAAGGCGTCGGGCTGGTGGATTTTTTAACCCCTTGTGTTATTGTGTGAATATATTAATATTAGGTGCCTTCCAATATCGCTGTACAATTAATTCTGGAATAGCCCATAGACAAATTAGCAAACTGATTGTTTGTTGGATGAAAAGCTGAAAAAACACAGAATATCTAAGAAAGAAGATTATGTTGTGAAAGATACAAAAAAAAATTAAGGTTTTGTGGGAGTGTTTGTATGTACTGTAGATTTATTTATTTTCGTGGGTAACAATTTTCCTGGATTGAGGAAAGATGATATTTTCGTGAATATTTGATTTTGTGGTTTTACCAAAGTTTGCATACAAACCTATAGAACACTTGTACTGCATTGAACACTTTATTTGTGGTTTACCAATCACACGAAAATTGGCACCCAACAAATAGTTATGAATCCACAGTATGTTATATTCAATTAAATCTGGAACAGCTCGTAAACAAATTAGCAAGTTGATTTTTGTCTACGAATACACAGAAGATTCTAGGGCTATTCCATTAAAATGTATTTGGGAAGGTAGGAAGGGACTTTCAAAATATCCCTACAACCAAGAACCATTTTTTAGATAATTTTGCATAATGGTAATAGACGCATACTGAAAAAAGACCCATGACCCACATTCAATAATTAAACTTCCCTTCCTACCCTCCCACATACATTTTAATGGAATAGCCCTTATTGAGACAGAATAAACTGTGTAAAAAGATGAATTTAAGCCTTTTGGCAAACCTGCTTTATTAAATGCACCAATTTCAAGTTAAAGGACTTTTCTACAACAGACCTTTTATGTGCATTGCTTGACCTAATTAATTTTATTATCTATGTTATCTACATTTATGTGTATATGAGATACTTCATAAAGAATCAGGTTGAACTGAATGTAAGACGAATTAATTTGAAAAGTATTTTATTTCATAGGCAGAAAAGATGAAGAAGAACCCACCAACCCAAGAAATATGTCGACTGCTGAGTTTAGAACTTATATTCCTATGGCATGCTCTTCCTACTTGTACAGAGGCTGAACTAAAACCATTTTTAGATGGTGTGTAAAGTCATATGTTATTAAAAAGAAATTTCAGGTCTTGTAATTGTTATCCATCTTAACTCTTTATTACTGCATATAAAAGATGAAATTAGGGTGTAAACTGTGGATATAAAAAGTATATCTTTATGGATACCACTTTTCTTAGAATATATTTATGAAAGTGGCTGAAATAAAGTACCAGTAAATTTTAAGAGTTATTTCCGTTTACTTCAAATGTTTTATAATTTTGTACATTACCTGTCTGACAACTTGTTTTAGCTTTTGCCTTTACTTGCTCACTTTCATTTGATTGTTTTTATTTTATTTATTTGGTCTCGCAGTAAACCTTTGAAATATAAAGAAACCAAACATAGTAGTAATTACTGTAAATTGTTACTGAATTTGAAATAGATATTTATCATACAATTGTATTTTCAGTATGTGATATGCAGACAGACAAAAATGTATTCCACTTAAAGTGTCTACTGGAGGGCGCTATATATAAAGAATTAGGTCAAGATGAATATGCTTTACAAGTAAGATTTAAGTCATGAGGAAACGTGTCATAAATGTGTTTTTCTCGGTCCTTGAAGTAGACAATTAAGGGTATTTCCTACAAAATTTAATATGTTATTGAAATCTGATTATTGTTCAGATATAAACCCAGTGACTTTTGACAATTTACTGAAACACTTATTATTATTTGTAAATCAAGAGCACCTCAACCAGTTTGTTCTTGATTTATCAAAAACAATATTTAAGTTGTCAGACATACATGTACTTACTAGTCAAATATTTTTTAAATTGTCAGACATAAATTCTAGTAAAACATTTAAGTTTGTATCTGCTACTAAGAATTTTATTCTGAATAAAAAAATGATATAATATTCAATGAGACAGCTACCTTACAACACAAGTCAATTAAAACAGATAGATACATAGAGGTCACTGTATGATCTTCAATGACAAATATGATCACAAGCTCTAAATGACTGATATACTTATTGACAATTTGGTATGATTCTGACCTTTGTCTTGTTGTAGTGTTTAGATGAATCACTAGCCAGGTATGATTCTGACCTTTGTCTTGTTGTAGTGTTTAGATGAATCACTAGCCAGGTATGATTCTGACCTTTCTCTTGTTGTAGTGTTTAGATGAATCACTAGCCAGGTATGATTCTGACCTTTGTCTTGTTGTAGTGTTTAGATGAATCACTAGCCAGGTATGATTCTGACCTTTGTCTTGTTGTAGTGTTTAGATGAATCACTAGCCAGGTATGATTCTGACCTCTGTCTTGTTGTAGTGTTTAGATGAATCACTAGCCAGGTATGATTCTGACCTTTCTCTTGTTGTAGTGTTTAGATGAATCACTAGCCAGACACCAGGGTATGAAGGATGACAACCATGTACCAGCCTTTGCTTTGTATGAAATAGCTTCCATTAAAATGAAATCTCCAGAGGTAAGACTCGGTATATTGGATAGAATACAGGCATACCCCCCCCCCCCCCCCCCCTTTGTAAAATTGACTTGAACAAAAATTGAACAAAAAAGAAAAGTCAGTTTTTTCCTTTATAAAATATGCTAATCAACCTTTGACCTTGATGTTTTAGGGGAATTATTTAAGGCCCATGCTATCCTAGTTAAACCACAATCATTGATCAATGACTTCTCATACTTTTTGGGTAAAGATTGCATGAAATGCAATCACAACCCAATGGTACTGACTTGATATCTATATCTTCCAAGGTTTATCACTACATTTTGATAGTTCAAACAAAGAGTGCAGTGAAGTGATCATTATTTAGATCCTATCCAGTCAATGTCATGCAATTTATTAATGATATGTTATACTATGATATTTAAGTTACAATATGATGTGTATTTGAATTACCATACTAGTCAAGAAATAAGTATTGCATGGTGTATGGCATCTGTTATAAAAATAGGTTCAACTACAAATATTCAATCATAAACAAAGGAAGATAACTCCATTTTTTAAAATTTAAAATTTTTTAATTTGCCTTACAAAATACAATTCAACATGTTCAATGTTTTATTTAAAAATTCACAAAACTGCAAAATATAAGCAATCTTTACTCTTCAGTGATCACAAGCACTTTGGTTATAGGTTGTTGATAACTTTTTCAATGAAAATGAGAAATGATAAATAGATTTGTTATTCAGTATCATATTTATATTCTGGAGTGAAAACTCCCCGGTATGCATTAATGGGTATGGGTATTTTTTTTGTAAAGTTTGGTTAATGTAATATTAAAATCTTTACAAGCAGTATACATAAACAAATTGAAAAATTAATGATAACAAATATATGATGCTGACCTGTGATTTTTTTTTATCCATTTGATTATCTGATCAAATACCATAAAGTCAACAACGTGAACAGACTTACAGGACAACAATGTGGACAGACTTACAGGACAACAACGTGAACAGACTTACAGGACAACAACGTGAACAGACTTACAGGACAACAACGTGAATAGACTTACAGGACAAATGTTATAACTTAATTTGACTTTATTCAGGGTTCTCATTAAGGCAAGTCCTCGAGTCCTGTGCTCATGAAAATCTGTCTTGACTCATCTTTTTCAAAACTGTTACTGACATGTCCAAAAGATGAATTAAGATTGTAAAATGTTGTACCAACTGACCACCCATTGGCCATATCATCGTTTTCTAGAAAAAAATTAAGATTAATCTTAATTAGATGTCACTACTATATCCTATTCGTCATGGAAACTGAATTAGATAAATTATATAGCAATAAAACATCATCTTCACACTGTTGGACTCACCATGGCTAAAAATGATGAGTCCCTGGACTCACCTTCATAAATCTTATGTGGGAACCCTTAAATGAAAGATAAATCTTGGTAGGTCAAAAATACTTACTTCATAAATGTCCTTTAATATCTCTTATACAGTGCTTTATGAAAGTTCTGGTTTAGCGTCCAGTTAAATCTATCATAAATATGTCATAAATATGTCATAAAGAAAGGTAAATTACTCACATTATTGTCAGGCTACTTGCAGTAAAAGTCTAAAGTCTTGGAATTCATGAAGAAAAAACATTGAGTCTATAACAAACGGAACAAAAAAGAAAATGTCTTTAATGAAAAGCTATCATATAATTCCTTCAGCATTTTAGCTAACAATGTTTATAAAAAGAAAATAGATATAAAAATTTATATGACCACAATTTTGCTGTTTGTTGTATATAATTCATTTGAATTTCTTTATAAATTTGCACGTCCAATTTGGTAAAATCTACTTGCCATGGAGAAAACGTTTTTTTCACTTTTGAAAAAAAAACATGTCCAAAATTAAAAGTATTGTGTACCCATTATCTGTAGTTTATGTTTGTTTTCTTTTTCTCTTTCTGTACAATACAAAATTAGCTGTAAGGCCCATTTCATCTTAATAATCAAGAATTCTTAATCAAATCTAATTTTTCTAACATACATATTCTTCATATTTGTAGACAAAAGGAAAAGCAAAAGATCTCTTACAGAAAATTAAGGTTTGTTAACAAAGATTTATGTGTACCATTTGTAATATAGATTGAATTGCATGCCAGTCAGTTTTATTAACATCATACATAGGCATGAAAAAAAAAATCCTATATACCTTAATATAACACTAGATACCCAACTCACATTTTTGAAAAATAACACTCAGTCGCAAATTTCTGTTATATTTCCACTCCACTGTTGTCTATCCCACCTAAACTTGTTATGTAGTAAAACTACATTAAATTATCTACAAAATGGTGTATAACAGGCCTGTTTCTGTTGTCGGAATCATTCGTAACATGCCTTCCAAGTAGGTCAATCGTAAATTATTTTGTCTCTCCCAGGGAAATGGCAAAGTTAGATTCACAGTGAATGATTAATTATAAAAAGTATTTCCCCAGTTCTATGAATAGAACTTATCATCCATATAGTAAATTTGTAAAAGATGCTGTGATAAAAAAATCTAATAAGCGTTATTTGAGGTATTTCTATAAATGTGTTAGGAGTTTCTATTTTTAAACTCAAATTTCCCCATTCTATTAACGTCATTCAGATTCTCTCTGACAAAATGATATTAGGTATATAGGTAATTTTTTCAAAGACCATTGCCAGTTTTATGTCAAAGTATTTGGTTTAAGACATAACATTTGTCATTTTGGTACTTTGAGCAAAAAGGATGAATATCTTAAATTGAAGCATCGTGGCTTGAATGAATGTGATATAACGTATATCGGGTTTTCTTCGCGTGTGTTTAATTTTTGCTTTGTTCACAACACCTAAAGAAACAAGAAATTTTGACCCCGTGTAAATTTCCCTGCATATTCCAAGATTTATGTGTGTTTGAAAGACTGTTAATTATTGAGTCTTTTGTGTTGTTCAACAGATCACAAGAATATGAATACTTAATTAAGATCTCTGTTTTCATAATAATTAATTGGCTAATCATACATGTCACACCTTTTGACAACACAGTAATCTGTGAAATGTTAAAAATGTTAATTAGCGACGTTCTATTAATTGGTGTCATAACCCGTGCATTTTACACGGATATTTGTATATCTGTAATGATCAAAACCTTCAACTATCATACTCCAGTGTAAATATTTTATGTCCCTTGAAAGTGTATTTTCGTCTGTAATACTCATATTTAGTTGATATCGATTAACTGTTGGTTTAATAAGTTTATGTTGTTTACAACTTTAACAATATGATACGGTTATTTTTTCGCCTGTATTTTCCCATTCAGCGAAAATTATACACAGTGAAAATTTAACCTGTCCATTTTGTCATCAAATCACGAAAAAAAAACGATATATGGTATAACAAAATTAATACATTTCGTAGGTAGGGTTGAATAATATACATAAAAATACAGACATATGCTTCAAAAATGTCAATCTGGCACAATGGCCTTGTCAATTCAAAGATGCAGGGATCTAGTTTGCCCATAAAACTATGTAAAAATCCATATTATAGTTGGAGAATTTCTGGAAATGGAAATGATATTAATCAGATGTATCGGATCATGTGACAAATGTATTGAATCATGTGACAAATGTATTGGATCATGTGACAAATGTATTGAATCATGTGACAATCTTATTGGATCATGTGATACAACCAATAGCTAATAAAAAGGGTGTTATCTATTTCCTGCTTACAGTTTTCTGTGAAGATTTTGCATTATTTTATTAAGAAGTAATTTTACCTATGGTGCATTAATTTGACAGGAGGGAAATGAATATGTGATAGTGTGATTCTATACTATAAACTCAAATTTGAATTTTGACATATTTTTGCTCTATTAAATTTTCCCACATTATATTTTTGCTTTCTATTTATTTTTCAGGATAACTATAAAGACTATGACTTTGAGAATAGACTAACTGTGAGAGTTAATAATGCTCTAAAACAGTTAAAAACTAGTGGATAAGTAGGATAGATCTAAACACCAAAGAGAAAGAACTGAGATTATAATAGTACACTGTCTCTAATGTTGTTGATAGTCAGTTCTACACACTGAATCAAAATTGTTATGCTGTAATTTATTATTTTTTATGTTAGTGCTAGGCATTGGTTCACAAGAGTTATCTTTCTTAGAAGCAGGTTCTTCCTGTATAATTGTCATGGAAAATGTAATAATTTTTTATCAATTCTTGATTTTTGGGGCATTTAAAATACATATATATACAATCAAAGTTTACAGAAACTATGATGTAACTTTTGTACTTTGTCAGAAAATTTTGTACCAGCCTTATTCTAAGACACACTGATGAATTGAGTTATCATTATTATGAATCATAACAATATCATTAAAGCCAACAGTTTTTTCAAGATATTGCAAAGAGACTGAACAATTCTTCACAATTAAGCTCAATATGAACTTTCTTGGGTAACACTTTATGGTGAAAGAAAAACTAGTTTGATTCAAATTGGTGCATGTTTTTCTGATTTTATTATACATCTTTGAAGGTCTGGATGGGGATAACAATATAGAATAATGGCATTAAAAATAAAGAAGAAGGGACTGTTCCACAAAATTGGCACAGATGATTGAAAAAATTGAAAAGGCTGCATATGCTTTGAAAAAACTGAAAGAAAAGGGAAAAAAGATATTAGCAGGAACCAAGTAGACCTGGCAGACTATTCAATTAAGGCCTGGGTCCCTAAATTTTAGCTGAAAATATCCAAAACGCTTATATATGTTAATCTTTCATATTGTGGCAGGTTGGGCCCTAGATGAGAAATTTCAGTCTTTTCCCCTGATAAACTGTACATTTTTATATTCTGTAATCATTGTTAATACAATAATGAAAACAAATTTGATGTCAGTGTGTAGTAACTACATTTAGACTGTGATTTGATTTATAAATGTGATACATAGATGTAGAAATGGGGTTCAAAAGGTCAAAGATCCTGGACCTGTTTAATATTGTGAAAGTTCATTCCAATATTTGACAGTGATTTGATTTATTTTTTGAAGAAAAATAATCGGGTAGGTTTAAAATATATATAATTTAAATTGTACTTCCTGTTTGAACATGCCACTGAAATTTGTCATGTTTTAATATTGACATGACTTTCAAGCAATGTTAAGTTGATCTCAATAAAAACATTGGTCGATCACTGTTGTACAGTAGACGTGTTTACACTTGTATGCAAATTTGTCCGCCATTACTTAAAATCACACAAGTTCCCGTAAAATCTGACATCACAATTTTAAAAAAATGACGTCATAATTAAAAACTGAATTGTTGCTTGACGTCAGAAGGTTATTCGGTGGCAGATCTAAGGACATTCAGAGACAAAATTCAGCTAAATACCAAAAGTGTAAATACGCTTATACACTAATTTGTAGTTTTAGGGAGCTACCATTTGATTGTTATGTGGGGGGGGGGGGGGGGGGGGGGGGGGCTAGGATGAAAAACGTTGTCTTGCATTTTTTTTTAGTTGTAATCTCTGTCCTGGCTTTTTATTTTTCACTCTTTTCGGTCCTGCCTTTTTTTTTAGTTTATCCTGACTTTTTTTTTGTCATCCTGCCTTTTTTTTTGCCAAGTCGCTCATCCTGCCTTTTTTTTTTTAAAACTCCTGTCCTGCCTATTTTTTTCAAATTTAATCAAAGTTGAGATAAATCATAGTTTAGTTGTGTATTGAGGTAATTGGCTGAGATTTAGTATTCCTGATTTGACTGATAAAATATCATATTTTGGCATAAGATTGTCATAATTGATTTTTTTTACCATTATGTACAATTAGTCCCCACCCCTTTCTTGGAAATGCTCCTATATGTAAGTTCTTGAACTCAAAATTGTTGTATAGAAATAAAACTACTTTTTAGAAGATTTCTACCATTGATAACATTTACATTATGATTTCTCTATTATTAAATGTAATTGACTTGTAGTAAAGGAGCAAAATCTTTCCTATGTATAGACATTCACTCTGTTATCCTGTGAAAACAACTAACTAAAATTAAAACCAGTCAGTTAATAAACTTTGAACTTTCCCTTGCATTTTTAATGCTTAGAATAAAAAAGTTTCACCTACTTTTGATAAGAGACAGAAAAGCAAAGAAATTAAAATTGTCTTGTCCAGGATCTTTAACTTTTAGAAGTAATTTTTTGAACCCTTGAACACTATTAGAGTAGATTTATTTTGTATTAGCATGTTTAGTTAGAATTCACAATTTGAATTCAAATCACATTATTTGTATGTATTAGCCATTTTCAGTGGCGGATCCAGGGGTTGGGGGGTTGGAACCCCCCATTTTTTTAAAAACGATCAATGCATTTGAATGGGGACATATAGTTGGAACCCCCCCTTTTAAAAATGGCTGGATCCGCCCCTGCATTTTTGTGTACTGATCAAGAAATCGAATCCTTAATTATTTTAAGAATTAATAGTACTTTTACACCTTTTAACTGAAGAGCTCACTTTTTGATCAAAACAGTACATTGACCATTTTTGGAAAAGTTTTTTGAACTTTCTATTTATAGAGGTCACAGATTTTCATTAAACTTAGATTAATTGAAAATTTTGATTAATTTACTTGTAAAGTCTTGTACTGTGTTAACATGCATCTTAAATGAAAAAAAAACAAACTTTGGCATTTATTACTTGAATAAGATATTAAATTTAACATTTTAACACCATATATTTAAAAGGAAATTGTAAACTGGATTTTTTGTGTGACAAGATTTAAAGTAGATTTCAGGGAATTTTTTTTCTATCATTTAAATTCACCATTTATATATTTCCATTGAATTTCACAATGAGCAATATTTTTTTTAATTGAATCTTGCCTATGAAAACCGATATCCTCAATCCCACCTGAATTTTGTATAGAATCAAAATATTTTTGATGGAAAATTTATAGTAAAATTTTGTGATAGTTTCGATTTAATTTCTCAAGCATTATTAACATAAAACATATCAAAGTGTTAACATTAACAGCTGTATATAAATCGCTTTAGATATTTTTATTGTTTTAGAGCTGAAGTAATCCATCTGTTTATCAAATTTTTTTTACCCCTTTAACTTTGGCAAAACAGTGATCATTTCTGTTCACACTTTGTTAATCTAAAACTTCTTGGAAACAAATTGACAGAATTTAACCAAACTTAAACAGACTCTACAGGTGATATTATATTGTGACCCTGTTATCGTAATGATCTGTATGACATTTGATATCAAAACAAAAACTAAGCCATTTCTGCTTGTGTGAGTTTGTTGATCCACAACTCCTTCTAAACAACATCACACAATTCAACCAATCTTACACATATTTTTCTACAGGACATAAAGGTGTGCACCTGATATTTTAATTTTTAATTAGTAGAAAATTGATTGATTGATTGGTGTTTAACGCCACTTTCAGCACTATTGTGCTGTTTCGCGGCAATCGATTTATATTGGTCGAGGAAGCCAGAGTGCCCTGAGAGAACCACAAGCTTCTGTAGGAAAACTGACAATCCTAGTCAATTAAGATTGGAGTCTAGCGCATTTGCCACATTCGGAATTCGAACTCTCAACCTCAGTGTTGACAGGCTAGTAATACAGTAGTTCGACTACTTAGACCACTCGGCCACTGAGGCCCCTCATATTAGGAGAAAAAAGGGAGGTATTGAAAAAGTTCAAGTTTATCTTTTTCTACTCCTGTTCATAACTTGGTTACACTTTCAAATCAGAGCTTCCTGAAATATGGTAACAAACTTTAAGTGATGCATTTTTACCGTTCTTTTTTTTAAGTAATAAATTTAGTGTATAATTATCCTACTAGGAGCTATTACTGTAAATTCAGAAACTAATGCGTGCATTTAATTTTGCAATTGTTGAAGAGAGGACAAAAATGCGAGATTAATTATTGAGATTGCAAGAAAATCTGCATAGTTATGTATCTGATATCAGAATGCGAGTTCTTATTATTGGGATACTCACCCATTCGCATTAAATAAAACCTCGCAATAATTTCGGAATTTACAGTATATTTAAATTTGAAGATGGATTTATACATTTATGAATTAAAGTTCTCTTAGTGAATTTTTCCAAACTCTTTTAATGGTGAATGTTGAATTTAGTGCCAAACTAATGTAATCTTATTATATCCATGTATGCAATTGTTTCTAGACATTTCAATTAGTTATACGACCTATTTATTGCTCATATATGTTGTACTCATTGTTGTTGGTGTTAGGCTATTTATAAAGATGTTAGGGAGCTACCATTTGATTTTTATGGGAGGGGCTAGGATGAAATTTGAAAAAAATAGGCAGGACAGGAGTTTTGAGTAAAAAAAAGGCAGGATGGGATTGTTTGCAAAAAAAAAAGTCAGGATGACAATTTAAGTAAAAAAAAGTCAGGATAAACTATAAAAAAAAAAGGCAGGACCGAATAGAGTGAAAAATAAAAAGACGACCAAAAAGAGGGAAAAATAAAAAGGCAGGACAAAATTTTTCATCCTAGCCCCCCCCCCATTAAAATCAAATGGTAGCACCCTTATAGGATTAGAAAGTCCTCATATATGTTATAACTGTACTACTTTAATACTTGAACTGCGTCGGATAGAAATCGACCTTATGCAAGTGCACTTATATATATGTACATGTGGAAGACTTTGAATTTTGGAACATCCAAATACGAAATAAAAGATGAATTTTGGTCTATTTTGTAGGGTTCATACATCAACTCAATTTTCAAACAGTTGCAGAATTTGCATAGAGATTTTTTCAACTCGAAACTCAACAGATATATTGATGTTCATTTGCCTAAGGTCGATTTCTATCTGACACAGCTCACTTTATAATTTCAAAGGAGGTTTTTCCACCCTTTCAAAATTTTATATATATATATGTACTGATTTTTTGTGTATAAGTTGGTTTGTACTTTGTGCTGTGTCATCTGATATTTGTTGCTGTTGTAATAATTTGTTTTGTATTCACATTGATTGGGACCAAATATGAAGCCATGCTGAATGTAAATCTGTTATGGCTGTAATTTATTTCAGGGTTTTGTTGTTTTACATGTTATATTGATGATAGTGTTTTGATTTATTTGAGATTACCTGTGTTTATAAATCGTATTTATGAATCATGGAATAGTCAAGGAATAAAACTACTTTGTTTGGAGAGCTGTCACTGTCAGTTGATTATTTGACAGTCACAAATGCAGCATTACTGGTGACATGGACCAGAGTAAATGGTAAACGGATATTTGCAATATTCAAATCTCAAATTGACGATGACAACTCTTCATACCCAGTACTTTATTTCCTAAATTAATGCAATACTAAAAATGTTGACTGGAGATGGTTCAGAACATTTTGAGTTTACTTCCAAAGGTTTTATGCATTTGGTTTCTTTTGGTCTGTCATGATATAGCTAATATTTACTTCCATGATCTGGAGCATGCCCTTTTGAATTGGGGGCTGGTCCTTTTGGTCTGGAGCATGTCCTTTGTAACTGGGACATGCCCTTTTGATCTGTAGTAGGTCTTTTTGAACTGGGTAGGCCGTTTTGGTCTGGAGCATGCCCTTTTTGAACTGGGGCTATACCCTTTTGGTCTCATGTATGTCTGAGGTTGTTTTTCTAGAAATATGTAGCATACACTTGTAAACTACTGTTTATTATTTATAAGACCTTTCAATAATCATGTTTTAATTCCAACATTACTGCTGAAATGATGGTCAAACCCAAAAGAATATATGTTGTTTTCTTTTAATGACCATATCTAATTTATAGTATTATGATGTACTCATTATGCAGATTTTGAAGTTAATCAAAACGCATTTTAAAATTACCTGTTTTGTGCATAGAATGTAACTTTTGAGTTTCTAACATATATAAAATAAGGATAATCCCCTAACCAAAGATTTTACCACAAAACATCATTAGATTGAAACTCATAAATATAAGGACTTACAATTTATTCATTTTGGTCCAATTTAAAACATTGAATTGAAATTTCATGGTCTGGTTAAAGGTGAAACGTAACAATTCTTTACTCCTTGCCACTTGTTCTCGGGTGGATAGAGTTTCTATTATCAGTATTATGAGATTGATAAACGGATCTTGTACCTGAAATCGAGTTCTATAGATCATCTGGCAAACAAGTAAAGATATAAAACTGGTTCAATCTTTCTTTGGAAACCAGTGCCAGTAACTACACCCTGTAATCTCTTATCGGATAATTAGAGCTACCATTTGATTTTTATGGGGGGGCTAGGATGAAAATTGAAAAAAATAGGCAGGACAGGAGTTTTGAGTTAAAAAAAAAAGGCAGGATGACAGTGAATGTAAAAAAAAAAAGTCAGGATAAAATAAAAAAAAAAAAGAAGGCAGGACCGAATAGAGGGAAAAATAAAAAGACAGGACAACATTTTTCATCCTAGCCACCCCCCCCCCCCCCATAAAAATCAAATGGTAGCTCCCTTAACTGTCAATGGTTTTATAAACATTGTTATTTATTATATTTCCTTGTTTACTATTTTTGCTGTTATCAGAATCAATCAACCGATTTTCTTCACTATATATT